CAAAATTACAATGCACAGTTTCGTTTGCATTAAATGTGAAATATAGGTATGTTCGCAGACGTTTGGTTCCAAAAGTATTTTTAATGTTGAAATTGTACTTGAAATCACTGATTACCGATTACTTCTGTTTCCTAAAAATTTTAAATAGGGTTGGATTTTATATAAAATCTTTAGATAGGGTTGTTATTGTTGACTTCTGTGCTTATTTTGGCTATGAAAAAATAATACATTTGTGGGTAAACAGGAACACGCATCCCGCAACTTGGAGAAGCTCTGCCAAACCATTTAATTATTGCAGACAATTTTTCGTTCCCATACTTTTGTTGCTGCTACCATTGCCCACTGACGAGCTTTTGTGATATAAATGCACCTTAAACGAGAGAACCCTGTGTTTATAAAAGTAAATTAATTCACAGATACAAATCACTTGTCAAATGAAAGCTGTACATTTGTGCAATGCCTTACAAATATGAAATTCCCCCTTGGGTCACTATAGGAAAATAATTAAAAAATAAAAAATAATAAACTTGAAGCCAGGTTAGTGGGTGAAAAGCACTTACATACATACAAATGTACATATACTCGTACATACATATGTACAACTCTACTTTTGTTGAAACTTTTGCCAAGAAAATCTCCTCAACAAACGTTTGTGTAAGACACTCAATGCATTGGCCAGCTAGTGGGAAGACTTTGAATGACTTGTGAAAATCCGCAGGCCAATAAACTGTTGATACAACTGACATGTGGCATGTGATATTCATTATATTCATTAGATACACCATCAAAGGCGAAGCACCGGCAAAAGAGGCAACAAATACCAACGTCAAACCGACTGGCACACCCAATCACTCAGCTACTGGTCATCATCAGCATATAAATATTTCATGTGGTAATTTAATAAATTGAATTTCTGCTAACTTGCAACATAAACAGAAACAAAAAGACAACAAAAAACACAACACTTTTTATTTGATGTTAAAGTGAAAGACAGTAGCCATTGTAAAAGCAACATTCTATAACCCTTTTGTATGGCTACCTTTCAGCTCCCGCTCAACCCCACTTTGCTAACTGTGCTTTTGCAACATTGTCATTTAATTATACTAGAAAAAGTGCGAATATTAATTTGTGCACATTTTCACTTAGCCAATGCGTGGAATGTCCCCAAAGGAACTTTAGGGACCACTCGATAAGCTGCGTTTCCATTACTACTGCAACAACGCCTAGGTGAATGAGAAACGTGGCCACTTACATAAATACAAATCTATATAGACAACATACATTTAAGTATTTGCGCATACATATGTATGTATGTAGGTATGTGGATGTTTTCAATTGCTGAGCTGTCGCATGATGCAGCGCGTTGATTGTACTGTTACCAGCTACGCCTGTCAGCCAACCGAACGAACAATGAATGCGCTGCGTAATGTGACAATCAGTGTTGTCATTTGTTGCAACGGTTGGTTTTCCGCGACGCCGCATCACGCCACACCACGTGTCATTTTAGCGGCAGGCATCGAATGATTTTCACTTCCACCGCCGCCATTCATTTGCCCACTTGACGCATCACAGCCACAGAGTATGGAATGTGTGGATGCCGCAATAATGTTACTCCCACAAACACACCGCACAACTCTCTACTTACTTGTATTTGATTTTTTTGATTCCACCAAGTGGCATCAATGACTCGTTGCATTGCATACTCGCATATACATATGTATGCATACTGGGTTGCGAAACGGGTGTGTGCTCAACAGGTGCGCCGCTAATGATTGTTGCCGATTGCAACAAATTGCAATTGCATCGCGTTGCACAGTAGCTGTTGCAAGTGCAGTGACTCGATGATGACTCTCTGATTGGTTTGGTTTCTTGCAGCAAAATGTTGGTAGTAGTGCTGCAAAACTATCGATGGTACCATCGATGTTATCGATGGGGCCAATTCTTTAGCCACTATCGATGGTTTTTTGAAACCATCGATGGTATTTTACTTTGCACACCACTACGTCATATGTTTGCAAAGACTGAGG